GGGCACAGGATATGAACAGACACCTCATCAAAGAAGACATTCAAATGGCCAACAAGCACATGAAAAAATGTTCAAAATCCCTAGCTCTAAGAAAGATGCAAATCAAAACAACTATGAGATATCATTTCACCCCAGTCAGAATAGCAAGATTTAACAGAACAGCAAGCAACAAATTCTGGCAAGGTGGTGGAGAAACTGGAACTCTTATTCACTGTTGGTGGAAGTGTAAAATTGGTACAACCACTGTGGAAGGCGGTGTGGCGTTTTCTCAAAAAGTTGCAAGCAGAAATACCATTTGACCCAGCAGTTCCACTACTGGGAAATATACCCCAAAGAGACCACAACTGCCACCCAAGCAGACATATGCACACCCATGTTTATCGTGGTTTTGTTCACAATAGCAAGTTTGTTGAAAACAACCTAAGTGCCCATCAACAAACAAATGGATAGAGAAGCTGTGGTATATTCACACAATGGAATACTACACTGCATTGAAAAACAAGGAACTCATGCAATATTATTCAAAATGGATGACCCTCGAGGACATTATGCTGAGTGAAGTATCTCAGTCACACAAAAGGACAAATAGTGCATGGTGCCACTGTTGTAAAACAGGACTCACTTCAGGGTTGGGGAGAGACTGAGAAAAATGGGATAAATAATGTACACTGCATTGAAACAGATGAGGGAGAAAACTATTTAAAAGGGATATGTGATTAAGTATTATTGTCTTGACAGGAGTCCAGAGCGAAGGCTGCAGAGTGGAGAAGACCTGGGGAGGGGGAGGGATTGTATAACAATGAAAGAATTTTTCTTCTACTTTTCAAAGAGAAAGATGTATGGGGGGGGGGGGAGAAAAAGTGCAACAATGAATGAATGGAAATCCGAAAAATTTGTAAATTTTCATTAAAATTCATAATAATTAAAAAATTTTTAAAAGAACTTAAGAATAGTATGGTCTTAGAAATACTTGAGGATATTCAGGACAGAGGACAGGATGCTGTCCATTTAACAATTATTCTTTCACTGTACTGTGGCACAGGAACATAGTGAATCAAGAAGGTTTGGACCTTGTACTTCTCTGTTCCCATGCAATCTGGTGGTAGAAATGAACAGCAGTAGTTTGAGGTGTCACAACACACTGGAGAACCAGTGAGTCAAATCTATCACCTTCAGGCACACACTATGTTTCTAAGATTTGATGAAGCTTTGATTTTGTTCTATGATTGTTTCATGAAAGTGTCATCATTAAATTTTTTTAACTACCTTAATGTTCTTCAACAGTCCAAAGTTGAACAAGAAACTAGAACCCAGGCTCATGAAGGCAGGTTCCCTGTAACAACCAGCGTTTTGTGAGCCTGTCTGCCTGTCCTGTTGTTCACTATCTGATAGTAGTTCTCTTGTTGCTTGCACAGGTAGTGACAATGCCAGAATATTTGAGGAAGAGGTTTGGTGGTTACCGGATCCAGATCTTCCTTTCATTTCTAACTTTAATCCTCTACATTTTCCATAGGATCTCGGTGAGTTATTTAAAAGTCAGTCCAAGAAATAGAGCCAAAGGGGAAAGAAAAGGAGGAGAAGAAGTCAGTAAGCAGGCCAACACTGGATTCATCGCAGCATTTCACTTTCATGACCCTGAATATTGCTTGCTAGACTCTATTCTAAATCAGAATAGAGAACAAATAGCTTAAACATACTTTGGATAAAAAGAAAAAGCAGAATATATGTTTTGCATGTTGAAGCTAGATACAAGTCTCTCCCTTGTAGTCTCATAGAACCTTGATTTTGTCACCAAGAATACAGTACATAGAATGCAATAGTGTGTCATTCTAAGCCTTAACACAATCCAGAAATGTCCTCTACACTTACATTAAACTCTAGGCTCCTTGTTATGGTGTTCCAGGCTGTTCCACTCTAGCCAACTGTCACTTCTTTGCCTTCATCTCCTCGTTCCCTGTCCATGATTCACTAGACTCTAGCCACGTTGTAGTTTTTATACTACACATACATTGAGCTTGTTCTTGTCACTTAGCCCAAAGACCATATCCATGAGATAGTCATAGGCATGCCCAGCCAAACTCTGCTGTTATTCTCTTTTCTTTGTAGTGCACAACCATTGTCTGAGAGTATTATTTGTTTACTTGCTTATTATCTCTTATCCAGCTGAGTGAAAGCCTTTTTTCTTCTACATTTAATATTTTATCTCTTTTCATAATTTTTTTAGATTGGGGGCCTTAGTGGCTTGTTAATTGAATTGCCCTTCCTTGTGTTTAGCACTCAACACATGTTCTGTGAATGCCCAAATAAGTGTTACCTATCACTTCAAGGGCAAAGTGCCTACTTAGCAGGTTTTTTCATTAAATGTAACTCCTGAGCACAGTGACAGGGGTTTGGTAATATTTGTATCTTCTAGGCCCTTTATTTAATGAATAAAGATATATAAATGTTGAGAGAATCTCTGCTCATTGTACCATTGACTTTTGGAGATAAGAATAGCAATAGTCAAGAGACTGGCCAATTAATAGAGGTGTAGTTATCTTTAAATCTCCACTAAAGCAAGGGTCAGCATATCTGGTTAGGGGTTTTCCTTGTACCACCTTAAAGCTAATGATGATTTTTGCAGTGTTGCTAACAACAGCAACAAAAGAATTATATATTATATATATATATTTTATATATATATATATACATACATATATGAAAAACATGCAACAAAAAAGGTATGTGCCCCAAAAGCTCACCATAGTCACCTCTGGCTTCTTTCAGAAAAAGTTTGCTGACCTTTGATAAGCAAACCTTTAGCTTTTTCTTTTTCTAGTGGCCACACTGCAGAGCAGCTATCTGAACACACCCCTTGCTTTGAAGCTCCATGGAGAAAGAGGTTAAATTGGATTAGCGTTGGCTGATTGTGTTAACTTAAGCACTAACAGATTGGCTTTGGAAATATCTAGTGACAGGTTGTGTGTCCTAACCTCAAAATGCTTCTTAAAGATTGTTTCAGAGATCGGTTCCTTTATGAGGTTGTTGATGCAATTCCAAATAAAAATTCAGCCTAATCACTTTATGTCATTGTAGGTGGATATCTTCTCTGGTGTTATGTTCATGAGACTAACTATGAAGTTGGATGCTTACCTGGTTGTCTTTATCTTGGTGACAGTTTCTGGCATGTATGCCATCACAGGTGAGACTCCTCAGACCACACAGGTAAGGATGTCAGCACCAAAGTTCTGCTTCTCATGGGTGCCCTACCCTCATTTTCTCCAGTGTTTGCACTTTCCCTCAGTCTATGTATCACATTGATGAGGCCTGAAGAGGATAATCAATGAAAATAATGAAGTCAAAGGGGAACCTAAGTAAACTGCCTCTATATATCCATGCAGATGGGGCAGACTGCCAGGTAGAAATGGGAGAGCACAGAAGAGAATGGAACAGAAGCATAGCCTTATGTCAGAATGTAGACTCTTTCATATGGGGAATTTTGTCCTTGGCAATCTTTGCCTTGGTTAAGAGAAAGATGCTCTTGTCACACCCCGTTATAACTACAGTGTCACTCTTTGTGACAGTATATCTAATTGAACAGGAACTGGTACAAACTGTGTGTGTGCAAATCTCTCACAAAAGACCTGTCATGACTCCTTCAGCTCACAAACATGGGATATGGAATCTGGTCAGTAGTTCTCCAGGGGAACGGTGCTGCTCCACAGGAGACTAACAAGGTCTGGAGACCTTTTGTGTTGTCGACACTGAAGGTTGTTCTGGCATCTAGTGGGTAGAGGCCACAGATGCTGCTCAACATTTCTACAGTGCTCAGGGCAGCCCCCACAGAGAACTATCTATCCCAACACGATATTCTTCTTCTTGGTAATCCTGCACCAGATCATTAAAATAGATCAAGCATTAGCTGACTTTGACTGTGAAGAGCCAGGCAGCAAATACACTAGCCTCTGCCAGCCAGAAGTCTGCTGCAGCTACTTAACTCTGCCACCGTAGTGCGAAAACAGCCATAGACAATGGCTGTGTTCCAGTCAAACTTGATATTCAGAACAGGTCATGTTCAGCCTACTCCTGAAATATATCAATACAATCTCAAAACTACTGTTAAATAAGGTTACACAGAACCAGAAGAGAAACTAGAGAAGGAAGCACATGGGAGGAAGTGAAGTGAATACGGGCCTGTCTGCTAAGTCAGCTACCAAAACCCAAGGTATCCACAGAAACTCCAAGAGAATTGTATAGAAGCACTCTTTGTATAAAGATAGTGGACATTTTGATTGAGCATAAAAAGGTTTTTCTCTGCTTAAGCATATGATTAAATTGATGAGGCCACAGCAGCCTATCTGCAGAAGAAAGATGGACATTGTCCTCCTGTGAAGATTCACAGCCCGAGACACCCAGCAGCGGGTCACTGAGTGGAGACTGTTGCTGTGGCAGGGGGCTGTTTGGTTTAGATCCATTCTGGGTGAGGTATTGTTGATTGTAGGAAGATAGGACTTCCCCACAAATTGCCTGATGGTCACCTTAATTAGGATAAACTTCTGGACTTTGTGACCCTTTGGTCTGATTAGCTGTGGTCTTTTGGGAATGCAAGCATAAGTAAGTACCCTTTGGGAGTCAAAGGGATAAAGGTTCTATTGTTGTTGTTGTTGTTGTTGTTGTTGTTAAGTGCTGCCAATTTGTAGACGACTTATAGCGACCCCATGAACAAAGACCTGAACACTTATATAACTTTTGTTTCTCTAAGTTTACAGACTTTTTGGAGATAAGCTCTTTCACAAGTGCATGCCACTCCTGCTTCCAAGCCTGTTTTAATCTGGGAGCTCCACCAAACACTGCCTACCACTGGTAGCCATTATCACATTTGACATATCTGTGTCACAGTGTTTAGTATCACAGCAACCATGAGTTACCTCTGTACAGCAAATTGACAAACCAGTGCTGTACCACTTAGAAGAATGTTTGACCAAAAACAATTAAAACCAGGCCTGAGGGCCGCAGATGAAATTCACCTACCTTTGGCTTGGTAGCATAACAAAGGAAATGTAAAAGTAAACTCTCCTGGAAGCTTACTGATACCCAGAAATAGAGACTCTTGTCAAATGAGGTCTACAGACTACCCTGGATAAAGCTCCAGGAAATATGCACCCTGATTTCATGGATGCAAGTACTGGAGGAACTATTCCAGCTGAGGGAAGGTGACCGATTGAGTGTTGAAGTCGTGATAAGATGGCTTTGTAGGTATAAAGTTGGCCAGCTAGGTTCTGACTGGACGAACTTTGAGAGCTGAGTATTTTTAACAGAGGCTGATAACTGTTTTGGCAGGGCAAATTTGCCAACAGAATTCCACAAGGTACTTGCTGTGGTGCAAGGGTGAGAATCTTCTCCTGAGCAGGAAAGGGGTAACCTTGGTATGGGGAGTATTGCATTAATTCAAAGTTAGGTTAGTCAGGGTGGAAGTAAATGGGCACCTGCATTATTCCAAGCTGAGTTTTGAGGTTCATGATGTCCATTTTTGCCTAAGAAAACTACCACACATGCAGTCATTTTTAAAAGAAGGGGAGAGAACTTGAAACATAAAAGGGCACAAAGTCCCTCCTAAAGATCATGGAGGATCTTACAGAGAGAAAATTTAAGTACCAAAGCTGAGCATAAATATTTAGAAAGCCAGAGACCAGCTCCCAGGAGGTCATCTCTGGCTCCTGGAACACCATGTGTGTCAGCAGAATTATACTCCATCTGACTTTTCAGAAATGTTGTTTTGTGCCATCGAGTCGCTTGAGACTCGTAGCGACCCTATGTACAACAGCCCTAAACTCTGCTCTGTCCTGTGCCAATCACATTGTCTCTGATACACCCATTCCAATTACCCCAGTCACTGAATCAATCCACCTCATAGAGGGCCTTCCCCTACTGCGCTGTCCCTCCATCCTACCAAGCATTATGTCCCTCTCCAAGGACCGGTCCTGCCTTACATCACGTTCAAAGTATGTCAGACGAAGCCTCAGAATCCTTGCCTCCAAGGAGCCACCCAGTTTAACCCTTTCCAGGATGAACCTGTTTGTTTTCCTAGCAGTCCATGGTACCCTCAACATTCTTCTCCAGCACCACAGCTCAAAGACATCAATTTTCCTTCTATCCTCCCTAGTCATTGTCCAACTCTGATGCATAACAAGTGATTGCAAAGACCATGGCCTGTATCAGACGCACCTTAGTCTCCAGAGAGACACTATTGCTCTTCAGAACTTTGGAAAGGTCCCTAACAGCAGACTTTCCCATCACAATATGTCTTTTACTTTCCTGGCTACTGGTGCCAAGAGTGTTCACTGTGGAGCCAAGCAAACTAAAGCTGCGAACAATCTCAATCTCTTCACCATCCATCCTGATGCTGCCAATTGGTCCTGTTGTGAGAATCTTTGTCTTCTTGACATTGAGCTTCAATCCATCTTGAAGGCAGCAGTCCTTGACCCTCTGCAGCAAGTGCTTCAGGTCCTCCTCAGTTTCAGCAAGCAGGGTTGTGTCATCTGTATAACGCAGATTGTTGATAGATCTTCCACCAATCCTGACCCCACATTTCTCCTCATAGAGCCCAGCCTCTTAGATAATCTATTCTGCATACAGGTTGAAAAGGTATGGAAACATGACACATCCCTGGCGTACACCCTTCCCAATTTTGAACCATACAGTGTTTCCTTGCTCTGTTCTGATGATTGCCTCTTAGTCCAAGTATAGGTTTTGCATTAGCACGATCAAGTGTTCTGGGACGGGACACATCACCTTTGCTCAGGAAACATTACCACTAAACTTAAGAGACATTGGTCACAGCATAAGAAACTATCAGCAGCTGACATGTTTGGAATCACAGAAGCCAAGGAAACTTCAGATATAAGCTATCAGATCAAGGGTTGGACAATGGAAGATAGATGTTGAAGGGAGTGGGTAGAAGTGGATGGGTATCCTAGTGGATGGTGGAGCAGGGAAATAAGTGGATAAAGACACTTGTGCCGAAGGCAGGGACAACACTGATACTAATGGTTAACTCCACAATAAGGGATATATCTTTCACTTTTTCTGTAAAATGCTTGTCTGTCAGATATAAATCTGACATTCTATAAATCTGAACATTCAGATTAAGATGACTAGGAAGAAGGATTGGCCATCCACTTCTGAAATAGCAGGCCTCTAAAAACCCTATGTACAACAGAGCACACATAGACTAACAGAGAGGGCAACTGAGGTGGAGCTTTCAAGTATGGAAATACAAAGGAAGAGGAACAGCTGTAAGCAGACACTAGTGATTGGAACATGGAATGTGAGAACCATGAATGTAGGAAAATTAGATATTGTTAAGGAAGAAATGGAACGCATAAACATTGACATACTAGGCATTGGAGAGATGAGATGGGCTGGCATAGAGCATTTTGAGTTGGATGATCATATATTACTCCAAAGATGAAAAGGTGAGGAAAAATGGAGTTGCTTTCATAGTTAAGAAAGTCATTTCTAGATCCATCTTGAAGTACAATATTGTGAGTGACAGGATAATATCCATACGCATACATGGAAGTCCAGTGAATACCACAATCATTCAATTTCAGAAATAGATCATTTATTATTGCTATGGGGAACCATTGAGTCAATAACAATTCATAGTGACCCTATGAACAGGAGACCTGAACCTTGCCCTATCTGCATCATCCTCACCATCCAGAGACGCTCCAGCCCATCATTACAGTCACTGTTACACGCTCCTTCTTGAGAAGATCTTCCTCTCTTTCTCTGACCCTCCACCTTCCCAAGCATGACATTCTCTTCCAATGACTTACCCCTCCTTAAAACAGGCCCAAAATGTATAAGACAGAGGTTCACCCTCCCTGGTCTCTAAGAAGGGCCCTGGTTGCATTTCCTCTGAAACGGACTTGTTTGTTCCTTTGGACAGTCCCTGGGATTAGACAGTACTCTTCTCCAACGTCACAACTCAAAGGTTTTAATTATTCTTCTGTCCTCCTTTCTCATTGTTCACCTTTATGATACATAGGAAGAATTGAAAGTGCCATGGCTTGGATCAGGCTCACCGTGGTCTTTAAATTGACATGCCTGCTCTCTAGCACTTTGGAGAGGTCCTTCACAGCACATTTTCCCAATGTAACATGTAGAAGTAGATCCCCAGGCCTTTTTTCTAACGTGCTTCCATCATTTTGGTATTCATGTTTTGCACCCTCCAAGGCCTCCTAATAAATTGTGAAACTCACTAAATTAAAGGCAAAAAAGATTGAGATCCAGGATTGAAAAGGTGTGGAGGAAAAGTTGGTGCTGCAGTAATGTTCAGCAGAGAGGATCAGATACGGCTCTCTCCTCTCATGCTCTCTCGCCCTTCCAGGTGGTTTTGCTGCTGTGGTTTATACTGATACTTTACAAACTGCTTTCATTCTTCTGGCTTCCATCATGTTGATGGCCTTTGGTAAGTAAAACTTATAATAACTTGATAATCTTAGCAATGTGGGTAAAACTTTTGAACCTGAGCTCCCTGGGACTATCTCCCCACCCTCATCTCACAGATGGAGCACCATCTGAGAGGTCTAACAGCAAATACAGGATGACACATCTGTTCACCTCAGAAGGAAGAGGAGTAGAGGAATAGAGCAGAAAAGATTAAGTGATGTATTAACTCACAGGCACAGACACTCAGGCCCACAGTTGTGCCTTTGCCAGGTTCTTCCTCTCCACTGAGACCTCTTTCTGTTTTTCCATTTGTGTAAATTCATCAGGATAAGAACCACCGCATGACGGTGGAATTGTGTGATTCTACAGTGCATTTTCCTCTCAACTTCTTTCACTATTATACAACCCCCCCCCATATCTTTATTCTTCATTGATTGTCTCATAAATAAACAATATCACCTCAGGTCCAGCACTCTGTTTTCTAACCCCTCAGCCAGCACATGGTATTTTTCCAACTTTGCCTACATAATGTTGTTGTTGTTGTTGATTACTGTTGAGTTGAGCACGACTCATAAAGACTCTATGAACAAAAGGCCTGAAACCTTTCTATAACTATCGACATTTATCAAAGTTCATAGAGTTTCCAGAGGCATGTTTTTAGGAAGTGGATGCCTCTCCTGCTTCCAAACCTACATAATAAAATGACAGGCGAGGGGGCTATCTTGATTTTTGTTTTATTTTGCTGTTTCCTGCTATGGATGAGAGTGGGTGTTTTAGCTATTTGCATTTCCTCCTTTGTGAAGTGCCTGCTAGTATACTCTGTCAGGCCTCAGGAATTGATGGCATATCAATTGACGTATTTCAACAAACAGATACTGCTCTGGTTGCACTTACCAGGTTGTGCCAAGAAACCTGGAGGGCAACCACCCCCATTCCAAAAAAAAGGTGACCTGACGAGTGCAGAAATTATCAAACTATATCATTAATATCACATGCAAGCAAGATCCTGCTGAAAATTATCCAAAAGCAATAGAACAGCAATCAGCAGAGAACTGCCAAATGTGCAGGCTGGGTTTAGAAGAGGCCATGGCACTAGGAACATTATAGCCAATGTTAGATGGCTCTTACCTGAAAACAGAGAGCACCAGAGGAACGTTTATCTGCATTTCATTGACTACACAAAGGCACTTGACTCTGTTGATCACAACAAACTGGCTAACTCTGGGAAGAATAGGAAACCCAGCACACTTTATTGTGCTCACGCAAAACCTGTGCTTGAACCAGATGGCAGTCGTCAGAATAGAGCAAAGAAACACTGCACGGTTCCAAAGCAAGAAAGGCATATGCCAGAAATGCATCCTATCTCCATACCTTTTAAATCTATAAGCAGAACTCTGTGTGCAGGAGGCTGGGCTCTGTGATGAAGAATGTGGCCATCAGGATTGGAGGAAGATTCATCAGCAACCTCTGTTATGCAGAAGACACAACCTTGCTTGCTGAAACTGAGGAGGACCTGAGGCATTTGCTGCAGAAAGTCAAGGACTGCAGCCTTCAATGTGGATTGAAGCTCAACATCAAGGAAACAAAGACTTTCACAACTGGGCCAATTGGCAACATCATGTTAGACAGAGAAGAGACTGAGATTGTTAACAGCTTCAGCTTACTTGACTCCATAACCAACACTTTTAGTACCAGCAGCCAAGAAATTAAAAGATGAATTGCAGTGGGAAAGTCTGCTGTCAGATACCTGTCCAAAGTACTGAAGAACAATGATGTCAGTCTGGAGACTAAGGTGCACCTGATCCAGGCTATGGTCTTTGAAGTTACTTGCTATTCATCAAAAAGCTGAACAATGACTAGGGGTAGTAGAACAAGAATCAATGCCTTTGAGTTGTGGTGCTGAAGAAGAGTATTGAATATACCATGGACTGCTAAAAGAAAAAACATGTCCATCATGAAGGATGTGAAACCAAGCTGCTCCCGGGAGGCAAGGATTTTTAAACTCTGCCTGACATTTTTGGGGCATCTTGCCAGGAGGAACAAGTCCTTGGAGAGGGATATCATGCTTGGAAGGGTGGAGGGGTACAGTGCAAGAGATGCAAAAACCTGGATGAGATGGATTGACTCAGTGACTTGGGTAATGGAGACAGATGTGTCAGAGACAAAGAGGTTGGCTCAGGATAGGGCAAAGTTCAGAGCTGTTGTTCATAGAGCCTTTATGAGTTGCAGGCAACTCAACAGCACATAACAACAATAACAAACTCTACCTGTATTTCTTCCCAGTAGTTTTGGTTGTTGGAATACAGGGATCCTTGATACATGAGGTGGATAGCTTTCTTCATGCTAACTTGTTCTTTAATTTCATTTCTGTCATGTAAATTTAAAACTTTTATGCCAAATTTATCAACCTTTCTTTTCCTTTTTATGTCTTGCTTAGTTGATTTCTCTTTGACCCAAGATCATAAAGACACTCTTTTATGTTTTCTTTTCATAACTTGTGGTATTGCATTTCACATTTTGTTTTTCAGTATCATGAAATAGTTTACTATTTTAGTAATTTCTTTTAGTTATCTCACATAGCACCTTATTCTTATTTTATCATTTATCCTCCTTCTTCACTCCCCATTCATTGAGTAGTGATGGCTCCAACACACTATGGACACATTTTAAGAATCAAATCTTTCAAAGGGGCCTGGTTTAATAAGCCAATTTTTTTAAAAATCAATGTTTTGTTTCATTAAGCCAGTCAAATTATGAATGTGTTAGTAGTACCTTTGAAAAATATCTTTAAGAATTTATACCAGATGAGGAACAAAAACTTGAAGAAATGTTCAAAATCCCTAGCTCTAAGAGAGAGGCAAATCAAAACAACTATATCATCTCACCCCAGTAAGAATAGCAAATTTTAACAGAACAGCAAGCAACAAATGCTGGTGAGATTGTGGAGAAACTGGAACCCTTACTCACTGTTAGTGGGAGTGTAAAATGGTACAACCACTATGGAAGGCAGTATGGCACTTTCTCAAAAACTTGAAAATAGAAATACTATTTGACCCAGCAATTCCACTACTGGGAATGTACCCCAAAGAAATCAGAACTGCCACCCAAGCAGATATCTATTGCCACTTTGTTCACAACAACAAAGAGTTGGAAACAACCCAAGTGTCCATAAATGAATGAATGTGGTATGTTCACACAATGGAATATTATGCAGCACTGAAAAACAAAGAACTCATGAAATATTATACAAAACGGGTGACCCTGAAGGACATTATGCTGAGTGAAATATCTCAGTCACAAAAGAACAAATACTGCATAATGCCACTGTTATAAAGGCGCGGAGGTTGGGGGAAACTAAGAAAAGAGGGAATAAATAATGTACACAGCACTGAAACAGACTATATAAAAGGAATGTATGGTTGGGTATTAATGGCATGACAAAAGTCTAGAATAAGAGCTGAATAGTAAAGTGGACTGGGGAGGGGGGGGATAAGACTGTAAAAGAAGGAAAGAAATTGTTTTTTCCAACGATAAAAGTGGACTGCAGGAGAGGAGGGGCAGGGAGGAAAATGTGCAACAAAGAATGAATGGATATCCAAGTTTCCTATAAACTTTCATTAAAATCTCAATTAAAAATAATTTATACAACTTAGGATAGTGCAGCAAAAAAATACCACACGCTTTGAAGACATTTTCAAATATGAAGCTTCATAGACATTTTGCTGACTTTGCTGGAAGGAGAGTCTTCATTTTTATTTTAGGTTTCTTTAGTAACTTATATCACAACTTGAGTTCAAAACTAGTATAAGGGACGTTTGTCAGTGAGGGGATGGTGAGGAGGGAGTTGAAAGTATCAAGTGGGTGGATAAGGTGAAGGGAAAAGGAGGGTACAGCAGTGTTTAGACAAGACAAATAATCACATTATACAGTTGTAATTCATGTTATAAAACAAAATGTCTATGAGTGATTGGACGAAAACTTATTTTAAAAATTAATCCAAACAAGTACTTTTTTAAACTTATATAAGCAGAAATTCCAGGCATATTCTATCTTCCAGCATAGACAGAAAAAGGGTTTTAAATGAGTCAGGAAGACAAAATACTTTCTAATTGCTATGCTCTGGTGGCCTAGTGTCAAGAAGCTATGCTGCAATCCTGAAGGCACATGATTCGAGGCCACCAGCTGCTCCGTGGGAGAAGGATGGACAATCTCCACCCATGCAATTAACTGCCTCTGAAAACCCACCGAAGGATCTGATATGGGTCAGCTCCGACTCGACAGTAAACATCAACAACAATTGCTATTGTTGGTTCAGAATCACAGAGAAATGGTACAGTCCTTCAGTAGAATACTGGAGCAAATTCCAGTTTAAACCACCTTTGGTCTCATGTCCATGCCTAGCACATCCTGGACCATTTCCCTGTTTGTCATCCAGGGGATGTAGAGCTCTGGGCACGCCTGGGTTAATGCCACATTACAGTGGAGCGGTTGACTATGTCCACCTCACCACATAGAGTAGGATGCATCTAGTACCAGAAGAAGGGGCGCTGAGCACACAGTGGTCACTATTGTCTCCTGATTTTCGTGCTCTTTGGAAGAGATGATCTTTTATTGCACATATAAAAGTGTGTCACTCTTGTAGCTGCAATTTATATATCAGGTACAATTAGTCAGACTGAGCTGTGACAATTTTGACTGTTCCAGTATTTGTCACTTATCAATATTATATGATCTTCAAGCCTTTAAGGAAGTGGGAGGATACCATGAACTACAAGAGAACTACTTGCATGCTATCCCAAGTATTGTCAGTGAAGGAAACTGGACTTCCAAGCAGGAATGCTACACCCCTCGCCCGGACGCCTTCCATATCTTCCGAGATCCCATCACTGGAGACCTTCCCTGGCCAGGCCTTGTCTTTGGCTTCTCCATCCTCTCCCTGTATGCCTGGTGCACTGATCAGGTACGTGGGGGTGGGAGTGTGCTGCTGCAGATGAGCGTGTGCTTGGCTTGGCCACTGGCCCACCCAGTGTTGATTTTGAGATTGCCTAGTATGCCACTTTTCATGCATTCCATTTCATTTTTAACAATTTCCAGTTTTCCAACATTCAAGCGATGTACATTCCATGTACCAATTGTTAAACTATGTTTGCTATTGCTTTTCCTCATTTCAAGTGACTTCTAGTCTGGGCTCTAAGCCAGGGGCACATTTTGGGTCAGATCACTAATTACTCATATGCAAGTTCAAACTGAGGCTGAAGCAAATGAAAATAAATCCACAGGAACCAAGATACGATCTTGAATCAATTCCATTGGAATTTCATGAGCATCTTAAGAATAGGTTTGAGGCATTGAACACCAATGATAAAAGACTGGATGAGCTGTGGGAGGATATCAAGGATATTATCCAGGAAGAAAGCAAAAGGTCGTTACAAAAACAAAGGAGAAAGAAAAAATCAAAATGGATGTCAGAAGAGACTCTAAAGAATGCACTGGGATGTTGAGAAGCCAAATCTAAAGGGAAACATGTTGAAGTGAAAGAGCTGAACAGATGATTTCAAAGGGTAGCTACGGGTATTACAATGGAATGTTCAGAGATCTAGAATTGGAGAATAAAAAGGGAATAACTCACTCTGCATTTCTCAAGCTGAAAGAATGGAAAAACAAATTTAAACCTCATGCTGCAATATTGAAAGATGCTATGGGCAATATATTGAATGACCCAGAAAGCATCAGAAAAAAGATGAAGAGAATACACAGAGTCACTGTACCGAAAAGAATTGATTGACACTGAAAACCTTCAGGAAGTACCAAAGGAACAAGAACCAATGGTAATGAAGGAGAAAGTAGAAGCTACATTTAAGGCATTGGCAAAAAATAAGACCCCAGGAATCAATGGGATGCCAATTGACTTTTTTTAAGTTAACAGATATGGCCTTTGATGCACTCACCAGTCTAAACCAAGAAATTTGGAGGATGGCTGTCTGGCCAACGGATTGAAAGAAGTCCATATTTGTTCCCAATATCAAAAAAGGTGATCAAACTGAATGTGGAAATTATCGAACAATATCATTGATGTCACATGCAAGCAAGATTCTGCTGAAAAGTATACAAAAACTATTGGAGCAATATGTCAACAGAGAACTGCAGGATGTGCAGGCTCGATTTAGAAGAGGTCATGGTACTAGGGATATTATAGCTAATGTTAGATGGATCTTGTCAGAAAGCAGAGAATACCAGAGGAATGTCTATCTGTGCTTCATTGACTATGCAAAGCCTTTTGACTGTGTGGATCACAACAAGCTATGGCTTACTCTGAAGAATGGGAATCCTAGAACTTCTGATTGTGCTTATGTGAAACCTATACTTGGACCAAGAGGCAGTTGTTAGAACAGAGCAAGGAGACACTACAATTCAGAATCAAGAAGGGGGTCCATCAGGGATGTATCTTGTCTCCATACCTTTTCAATCTGTAGGCAGAACAGATCATCCGAGACGCTGCGCTGTACAAGGAGGAATGTGACATCAGGATTGGAGGAAGACTCAGCAACCTGCATTATGCAAATGATATACTTTGCTTGCTGAAAGTGAAGAGGATGTGAAATGTGTGCTGCAGATCAAGGACTATGGCCTTTAGTATACATTACATCTTTTTTTTTTTTCGGATGTAGCCATTTTCAGGGACCTTAATGAACTCAATTATCCTTAAGGCTTGTACCATGGCTTTAATATTTCCAGCTCTAAACATATTTCTGCAAAAACATGGAGAGGTAAGCAGAGTAAAGAGCTGACTTACATCTTTTTTTTTAATAGCATATTCTTTCTGTTTAATTTTTCCCCCTTCATTGTTGCACATTTTCCTCCCTGCCTGCCTCTCCCCCCACCCACTTCATTTTTCTCTTTGAAAAGAAAAGTCCACTTTACTATGTATTTACTTCTCTGGAATCTCATCATGAAAATAATACCTAATCCTATATTCCTTTTAAAGAGTTCTCTCCCTCATCTGTTTCAATGATTCCCCTCTTTTCCTCCCAACCCCTATGTCAGTCTCATTTTACAACAATGGCACTATGCAATACTTGTTCTTTTGTGATTGAGATACTTCACTCAGCATAATGTGCTCCAGGGTTACCCATTTTATATAATATTTCATGAGTTCTTTGTTTTTCAATGCAGCACTGTATTCCATTGTGTGAATATACCACAGTTTCTCTATCCATTTGTTTGTTGATGGGTGCTTGGGTTGCTTCAAGCTCTTTGCTATTATGAACAAAGCAGCAATAAACATGAGTGTGCATATATATGTTTGGGTGGCAGTTATGGTTTCTTTAGGGTATATTCCTAGTAGTGGAATTGCTGGGTAAAATGGTATTTATATCCCCAACTTTTTGAGAAAGCTCCATACAGCCTTCCATGGTAGTTGAACCACTTTACACTCCCACCAACAGTGAATAAGGGTTCCAGTTTCTCCACAACTTCACTAGCACTTGTTGTTTGCTGTTCTGTTAAATTTTGCTATTCTTACTGGGGTGAGATGATATCTCATAGTTGTTTTGATTTGTATCTGTCTTAGAGCTAGGGAGTTTGAACATTTCTTCATGTGCTTGTTGGCCATCTGAATGTCTTCTTTAGTGAAGTGTCTGTTCATATCCTGTGCCTATTTTTCAATTGGGTTGTTTATCTCTATCTTGTTATGGTGCTCGAGTATTCTATAAATTCTAGATATAAGTCTCTTATCAGACGTCTCATTGACAAATATTTTTTCCCAGTCTGTGGCTTCCCATTTTACCCTGTTGGAGAAGTTTTTGGATGTGCATACGGATTTGATTCTTAGAAGGTTCCATTCATCTATTCTATCTTCTCTTGGTTGTAGGTTTTCCAGGATGCTTGGAAGACTTTTCATGTAGTGGATTAGAACTTCTAGAGTTCTCCCAAGCTTTTATTTAATAAAGATTATAGTCCTTGGTTTCAGTCCTAGGTCCTTGATCCACTTTGAGTTGGTATTTGTGTATGGAGTGAGGTGTGGATCTTGCTTGAGTTTTCTACAGATAGTTTTCCAATTTTGCCAACACCATTTGTTAAAAAGGCTGTTATTTCCCCATATAACTGATTTCATCTCCTTGTTAAAAATCAGTTAACCATAGGTAGATGGCCTGATTTCTGTGGTCTCAATTCTATTCCATTTATCTATGTGTTTCTCTTTTTAAGGAGTGCTTTTCATTACATCTTAATATCAAGAAGACAGAAGTCCTCACTATGGGGCCAACAGTAAGGATTATGATAGATGGGGGAAAAGATTGAAGCTACTAATGATTTCATCTTTCTTGGATCAACAACCAGCACTCTTAATATCAGCAGACAGGAAATCAAGAGATGTATTGCATTGGGCAAGTCCACTGTTGGGGACCACTTCCAAATTCTGAAGAGCAATGATGTCAATTTGAAGACTAATGTGTGCCTAACACAGGCCATAGTCTTCTCAATCACCTGTTATACATACGAGAGCTGAACAATGAAAAAGGATGACAGAAGAATTGATGTCTTTGAGTTTGGTCTTGGAGAAGAGTACTGAATATCTCATGGACTGCCAAAAGAACAAAAAGATGTCTTGGGAAAAGTACAGCTAGAGTACTCCTTGAAAAAAAGGTGGTGATGCTTCATCTTTCATACTTTAGACATGTATCTAGGTGAGGAAAGGAGAAGAAGCATGCTTGGAAAGATGGAATATCAGCAAAGGAGAAGACCTCCAAGGAGATGGCTTGACACAGTGACTTCTGCATAGGCTCTTGTATGTTAGAAATGGTGAGGATGGAACAGGATAGAGCAGGGCTCAGATCGGCTGTTCATAGGGTCTGTATGAGTCATACTTGACTTAACAGCACCTAACAACAGCAATAAAAGTAACTTAAGATCTTGAACATTTCCTTTGTGCATGTGTTAACAAGATAAATAAATGTCTTCTTTAGTGAAGTTAACTTTTTATGCCCTCTCCGCATTTTTCCATTGGGTTATGTCTTTTATTTGTTGAGGTATTGGAGGTTTTGATACATTTGAGGCATTAGCTCCTACCCAGTTCCTTTCCCAAACTATAGATTTTCTTTTATTCTTTTGGAGATAGTTCCTGATGCACATGAGGATTCAGTTTTACCAAGTCCCAGTCATCCAGAGTGTCCTCTGCTGATTACACATTTTCTGTCATACGTGGTAGTCTATTTATGCCATAGATTAATGCTCCTGGTTTTGCCCAGATTATTTTGGGTGTGTGTGAACTTTATAGTTTTCAGGTTTTATGCCTGAAGTCTTTGATCCACCTTGGTTATTTTTCTGTATGGTGTGTGGTGTGGATGATCTTGTATCCATTTTCTACAAATAGACATCCAGTCTCAATAGCTCCTTTTGTAAAAGAGACTGTCTTTTCCCCACTTAATGAATGTTGTCTTTTTGTCAATGATCAGCTGTCCCTGTTGTTGTCGTTGTTAGATACTGTTGAGTTGACCATAACTCGTAACACACTGTGAACAACACCTAGAAGCCGTGCCCTGCCCTGTACTATCCTCATGATCTCTGACTTGTCCAAATCCATTGTTAAAGTCACTGTGTCAACCATCTCACTGAAAGTTGTACTCTCTTTCACTGTCCTTGACCTACATGATCCCTTTTTCCAACGACTGGCTACTCCTGACAACATATCCAAAGCATGTAAGATGAAGTGTTACCATCCTTGCCTCTAAGAAGCATCCTGGTTGCACTTCTGAAGACACAGATTTGTTAATTCTTTTGGCAACCCGCGGGGTATCAATACTCTTCACCAACACCACAATCCAAAGGCATTGATTATGTGGTCTTCCTTATTAATTGTTCAACTTTCAGATACATATAAAAAGCAATTGAAAATGTAGTGGCTTGCCTCAGACACACCTTAGAATTTAAACGGATATCCTTGCTCTTTAGAATTTTGGGTAGATCCTTAACTGCAGATTTTCCCAGTGCAACTTATCTTTTGATTTCTTGGCTGCTGCTGCCAAGAGTGGACCCAAGTTGTGTCCAGAAACTCTATGAACTTGGAGAAACAATGAAAGTTATACAAATGCACATCCATGTTTATTGCAGCTTTGTTCACAATAGCAAGGAGTTAGAAACAACCTAAGTGCCCATCAACAAACGAATGGATAGAGAAGCTGTGATATAGTCACACAATGGAATACTATGTTGCATTGAAAAACAAGGAACTCATGCAATATTATTCAAAATGGGTGACTCTGGAGGACATTATGCTGAGTGAAGTATCTCAGTCACACAAAAGGACAAATAGTACATGGTGCCACTGTTGTAAAACAGGACTGACATCGGGGTTGGGAGGAGACTGAGAAAGATGGGTTCAATAATGTATACTGCATTGAGACAGATGAGGGAGAAACCTGTTTAAAGGGGATATGTGATTAGGTATTTTTGTCATAACAGGAGTCCAGAGCGAAGGCTGCATAGTGGAGTAGACCTGGGGGGAGGGATTGTAAAACAATGAAACAATTTTTCTTTTACTTTTCCAAAAGGGTAGTGTACTAGGGGGGAGGGTTGGGAGGGGAGAAAAGTGTAACAATGAATGAATGGAAATCCAAAGTCTCTGTAAATTTTCATTGAAATTAATAATAAATTTAAATAAAACAAAAAAATAGAAAGTTATACATGTGTTCAAGTCTTTTGTTCATAAGGTCACTATGAGTTATCTATGACTCGATGGTACTTAATAGCAACAACAACAACTTATGCACATGAAGACTCGATAATAAATAAGGAAGACCAAATAAAAATTTCTTTTTATAAGTGAATTGTGAAGAATATTGAATATACCGTGGACTGCCAAAAGAACAAGCTAATCTCTCTTGAAAAAGCGCATCCAGAATGCTTTGAAGTGACAGTGGAGAGGCTGGCTCACATACCGGGACATGTTTTGAGAAGGAGCCAGTCCCTGGGTAAAGGCTTGATATTATGCTTAGTAAAGAAGAGCATCAACAAAAAAGAAGGCAAACCCGAATGGTACAGAGGCTGCAGCCGTGGGCTCCAGGAAAACAGTGGCAGTGAGGATGGTATGTGACCAGGCAATGTTGCAGCCTGTTGTGCATATGACTGTGTGAGTTTGAGCCTGATCAGCAACACCAACAGTGACAGCAGTATGTTGGTTCACACCTTCTGGCGTTTTTCTCAGAGCCTGTGATGTTTCATGTTCCTGTATCTTTCAGCTGAGATCTCACTGGGAGCATATTGGTGTATAGTTTACATGTTTTGCAGAAGCAGCTTTGAGTGTATATAGGAGATCGTGCCCTGAGGCCCTGTCCTCTCCATTTCTTTCCAAGCCCCTCCAGCTCTGCTTCTCTGGCAGAGCGGTTCTGTCCCAGCCCAAGTTCTCAGCTCCTTTGTATCGCAGTGGTATCAGTCAGTGAACCATAGCAGGTCTGCTGGGAAAGTGTTCTGTGAACAGCTTTTGCCATTTAAGTGAATAAAGTTGGTCCCCATTTGGAGTGCTCTCTTGTTGCTGGGGGCCACAATTGAACAATGTCACAGAATTCTTTCTTTATCTGTCAGATACCATCTGTGTCCTCCAAGAGGGAGTCTCCTCCTGCCAGGTACAGCTCCCCGTGGTGGTTACTCAGCATCAGCAATGAAGCTTCACTTCTGAGAGTTAGATGCTGGGCTGAGCTTGCTTGCTGAGCTCCCCTACGGCACACACTGGTGCTGCCACAGTGGGCAGAGGTGGCGTGAGAAAGCCCTGACCCTGACATCTAACTCTCTGCAGATGATCGTCCAGAGGTGCCTGGCAGGGAAGAACGTGGATCATGTGAAGGCCAGCTGCATCCTGTGTGGGTACCTGAAGCTGCTGCCCATGTTCAGCATAGTGATGCCAGGCATGATCAGCCGCGTGCTGTTCCCGGGTGAGTGCCTGGTCCAGAGCATGTAGACCACTCAGCCTCACAGAGGCTCTGACCCCACAGGGACCCCTTCCTGCCTCCTTAGATGCTTGGGGCTGGTGTGAGGAATGCAGCTCCGCTGGGTCTGCACCCTCCCTCCCTTCTCAGAGGCTCGGGGCCTGGGTGAGGGGCACAGCTCAGTCGAGTCTGCAGCGGTGGATCTGGGCAGCCGGAGTGGTTCCCTGCGTGGTACAGTCAGGCCAAGTAGAGCAGACCAGGTGTCTTCTTGTGGGTCAGTCCAGGACACAGACTTGAAGGCCAGGTCACCTCCACACAGTACAGATTCCATCGTGCTGGGTGTGGGCCCAGCCCTGCAGCAGGGGTCCAACAGATGCAGTGCCCACTCGAAGCCCAGAGGTGGCCTTTTGTGGCCTCAGAGAGCATATGGCCTCTGTCAGAGGGAAGCTTCACAGCTACCAAGATGAGCCTGACTTTGCATGTTCTTCCCTCCATATTCTGGCAAAGTTCTCCATGCCTCTGGGTAAGCCACAGCTCTGTAGCAGCATCTCAGTAAATCATGGCTGTGCTGGGCTGTCCTTTCCCTCACAGCAAGAAGTAGACAACATGGAACCTCCATGGGCTCTGGGGTGTGGTGCTCCTGAATAGACAAAGAGAAATGGAAGGCACATTACCATCATAAACACATGAAGTAGACCTCCTCCGTTCCAATCTCAGGAAGGATCATGCTTGGCTCCAGCAGGCCCAGATTGGCGGTTCTGTCACCATATAACATTCTCATTGGGCTCCCTGTGAGTGAGGTATGGTTCCATGTTCTCCAAGGCCTCTGAGTGCCTGCTACTCCACAGTGGGACCTGCCCCCACACCCTGAGGAGGAAGATGGGCCATGTGTCCCAGCTCTGGATCTAGAAAGGAAATTTCAGGGTAAGGAGAGGTTTCTCCCTCCAGGATCCATGTTCTTTGATCATGATTCAGCAAGTAGTGGCCGAGAGACCATCAACGAGACCAGCCAGGAGTCACTTCTTCCTAGTTCTCAGAGTGACCAGACCCACAAGGACACATCCTCTCTCCTTGCACCAGAAATCTGAAACCAGAACATCACCAGTTCTCAGCTCTGGCACTTGACAACTGTCAGAATATGTTTTTCAGTGACACAGAGGCTTCTGCCCTTAGGGTCAGTCTTCCCTACCCGGAGCTGGGCTGGACATGGCAAAGGTGTGAGCTTTTTGAAACCTTGTTTTCTGGTGGTGGTGAAGGTGGTGGTGGTGGTAGTATGTACCGATGAGCCTGAACCAACCCATAGCTCACCCTCCAATGGGTTTTCACAAAGTGTTAATCCCTTGGGAGATTGCCCTTTTATTTGTTCCACCTCCACAACCCCTGGAGAGCAGCTGGTGGATTCAAACTATGTACCTTTGGATTCACAGCACAATTCCTTACCACTAAGCCACCAGATTTCCATTGTTTACCTATAGGCTAGCAAATTGATGACACAGCCTCACTTGTTGAAAATAAAGAGGACTTAAAGCATCTGCTGCAGAAAGAAAATTAAATACTACAGCCTTCAGTATCAGCATCAAGAAAACAAAAGTCCTAACCCTGGACCAAGAAGCAGCATCGTGATTGATGGAGAAAAGATGTGAGTTGTCACAGATTTCATGTGACAATCTCTATCCTACCCACTGGATGGCCCTGTCCGGAGAGTTTCCAGCAAAGAGCCTGCAGGAGTCTCCGGGAGTGCACCTGAATTGTGTGAAGCAGTATCTGTGGTCAAAGAGAAGGACTGTGCAGAATGGCCAGACTGGCGCCCAGGCCCATTCACGCTAGAGGGGAAGCCTAGGTAAGGTCTAGCAAGGAATGGTGAGTGGGCAGGTGAACACAGTGATCACTGCCACTGCCTTCTCTAGATGATTGACAGTCACTTCTGACACTGTGTATCTGTCTCCAGCAAAGTAGCATGCTCTACCATTAGCCTACGTTTTGCACTGGGGAAAGTCTGCTCTCAGAGACCTCTCCAAATTATTGAGGAGCAGTGATCTCACTTTTAATGTTAAGATGCACCTGATTTAGACCATGGGTTTTTTTCAGTTACTTGCTCTGATCTGAGAACTGGACAGTGAGTGAAATGACAGAAGAAAGACTGATGCCTTGGAGCTGTGATGTTGGAGAAGAGCACTGAATATCCCATGGACTGCCAGAAGAACAAACAGATATGTTTTGGAGAAAGTGCAGCCAGAGTGCTCCTTGGAGGCAAAGATGACAAAGCTTTGTCTCACGTACCTTGGGCATTTTACTAGGAGAGGCTGTCCTTGGAGAAGGACATCATGCTCAAGGTGGAGCGTTGGCAAAAGAAAGGAAGACCCTCAAGCATATAGACTGACACAGTGACTGCAGCACTGGGCTGGAGTGTCAGAGATGATGAAGATGGCACAGGGTAGGACAGGGTTCAGATCTGTTGTTCACAGGGTCACTGTGAGTCATTGTAGTCCACTCAATGGCACCTAACAAACCCTCAAAACAGCCATTGACCTGGAGAGAATCCTGATTCCTTCTGTTAAGTGGAGTGATCAGATGTCCATGGGTGTTGGGGAAGAGCAAGTGCTTAACGACTAGTCAAAGGGTTGGTGGTTCAAGCCCACCCCGAGGTCCCTTGGAACAAGAGGTTCCTTGGTGCTTTGCCTCTGAAGGGCACAGCCTCGAAAAGCTCGTGCAGGGGAGTGCTGCTCTGCACACACGGTGTGGGCCGTGAGTCACAGTCAGCTTGATGACATCTACAACAGCCTGATATCCCTCATCTAAGTTACCCAGTTGCTGTTACTTCCTTTACTGGACTCCCTGTGTCCTGAACTGTCACTCCTATCAGGATTACTGGGGAAAGTTTATGAGTTTCTTACACCTAGTGGAGCGTGGGATGAGCATTTGCCTTGTTGACATCTAGCTGGAGTCCACAGCACCCACTGTCTCAGACCGTCTCCCACCCTGGTGCCCAAGTTGATCTATTGAGTGGTTATTGTGATCTCTGAGAATACCTCTAGGCCTGGGGTCTGGGTGGTTCTTCTGGGTGCGTTTAAACTGCCAGCCTTCCAGCTAGTGGCTAAGCACTTAACTGTGTAGGCTACCCAGAGACTATCACTTGCTATTCTTAATTTGTTTCCCTCCTCCTAAAACCACTGTGAGGTCACAAGTTGATATGACTGTTCCCTATCTTTACAGATAAAGTGGCTTGTGTTGTTCCTTCAGAATGCCTGATGCACTGTGGAACCAAGACTGGTTGCAGCCCTATCGCTTACCCGATCCTGGGGATGGAGCTGTTGCCCAGTGGTAAGAAATGGGCCACGTCACTGGGGTACACAGAAGCCTGTCAGCCCCTCTGTCAGAGACTTGCTATAGGGCTATTTTAGTATGAGGGGTCAGAACTACCGTGATTCTGGGGAGAAATGTAAACTAGGGAAGAGAGTGTTATCCTGTGTTTCCTCATCCTTTGCACACTGATGGAGCAAACACACTCGAGGTCTGTCCTCTGTCTCTTCATCCCTCACACGCTGATGGAGCACACACACTCACAGGCCTGTCCTCTGTCTCTTCATCCCTCACACGCTGATGGAGCACACACACTCATAGGCCTGTCCTCTGTCTCTTCATCCCTCACGCACTGATGGAGCAGGTGCTCTTATGGGTCTGTCTCTAGCACATATCTATATGCTCACTTGCTCCTTTACTCCTTTGTTCACTCAGTAAATGTCCTCTGGGCTGCACACCTTAGAGACGTTGTCCTCAGTTGGGAGAACCACCTTGGCCGGCTTCCACAGAGCTTCTATCCAGAACAGGGGGCAGGTGTGGGAAATCAGCCAGAAGCAGGATGTCATCATGTGAGATGATAGTGAACTTCTTCAATGGATTCTCCTTCTCTTGAATCCCTTTTAAATGACAGAACAAGAATTAACACAGGAACCCCTGTACAGATTCTGGGAAAACCAAAGATTATCCTATCAATTACAGCATACATGGGTCCCCTAATGAAAAGGAAATCCTGACCACCCCAATAGTTCTAGAAACAGATGTCCTTGTTCCCCAGCTGACCTCGGGTTTTAAAAGTTGTGCAGGTGTGGACTGTAGAGTAGTGTAGGCGGAATTTCCAGGAACCCAGGCATTACACACCTGAGCGGCCACTGAATATATGGGGCCTTGACTATGATGAGGTCCAGTCCAGGGCCTTGCGGCCCCAGGGCACCCAGACCACTTGGGGGGAAAAAGGTGTCATCCAAGCAGCTGGCATCTTCATGGCTGGTGAATTCCCGAGCCCAGGAGATAATGAATGTTCATTATCACCAGCCGTAGTCAAAAGCCTATTCTGCACTCTTGGCCTTTGAACAACCCAGGCCTGAGCTGCAGGAATCCAGGCACTAAGACATGCACAAACATGTGGATTTTCTTAAATGCCAGATAATTCTAATCATGTCCTTGTGTTCATTTTTCCAGTAAATGGTGTGGTGATAAAAAGTGATCTTCCGTAGTTCTCACATATTTTCACCATGTCTAGTGCAGTAACTTTAAATAGTACAGTGGGACCTGTGTGAAGGCTGCTGGTGACAGTCCCCCAAAGGCTGATAGAGGTGTTCCCATGAAGCACTGTGACATGATAGTCATGACATTGCAGGGAAAGCTTGAGTTGTTAGATATGTAACATAGATGGGGGTCTGCAGCTGCACTTCCCTGCCATCTCATGATGAATGAACCCCATGTAAGAACAGCTGTGGGGGAAAAGAAAGAAATCCATGAAGCTATCATAGCAGCTGGACCTGTAGTTTGTATAGGAGAGCAGGAAATAATAGATATGTAATGCATACGGAATACATGTCCACTGTTTGTGTTACTGGTCAAAAGTAGTAAAGTAAGTTTTCATGGCATCAGGAGTCATATGAGAATTTTGGTCAAAGCTTTGACTCCTACATTGTTCCAGGGGCAGGTATATTGAGCATTGATTCCAGCTTGTCCACTTAATATATCTGAATCTAAACAATGACCTATGTGGTCCGTGGCATAGGCCCCCAGGGCCTCTGGCTCCTGGTCTGTGAGTGGGGGCAACAGTGGCATCCCCTGGCCAGGGCTGCTGTTAGCCTAATGGACCTGAAGATATACTCTAGCAAAAAGTAGCCACTCAAAATGAACTCCATTATGCCCAGGTACCACAGGAAACTAAATCTTGTCACATAGCAAGTACAAGGGCAATGAAGTTCACTCCACATAGGCTTGAATATCCTGTAGGAGGAAATCTCACAAGTGGAAAAGGTCAGCATAGGGCTTTCATTCTCCGCAGACGCAGTGCAGAGTGGAGGCCCAAGGACTGTCCTTCTCTTGCAGGCTTACGTGGCTTGATGCTGTCTGCACTGTGGGCCTCTCTCTTGTCCTCCCTGACTTCTGTTTTCAACAGTGCCAGCACCCTCTTCACACTGGACATCTACACATGGATACGGCCCGTGGCCACTGAGACGGAACTCATGGTCACAGGAAGGTGAAGGATTCCTCTGTTTACATTAGTTACAACAGTCCGTAAATGAGTGCCCACAATGGCCCCAGTGGTAAAAACAGTACACAGCTTTATGCTCTGCATATACATGGTGGTTAGATATATCCTTTCTTATAGAGGATTGTCCTTTGCACGTACAGAATGGCTAGATATATCCTCTACATATACAGGGTGACTAGATGCATTATCTACATGTACAGGGTGACTAGATATATCCTCCATGTATAAGAGTAACTAGATACATCTACATATACAGGATGATTAGATATATCCTCTATGTATACAAGGTGACCAGATATATCCTCTACATATACAGGATGAGTAGATATATCCTCCACATATACAGAGTAGCTAGATACATCTTTTACATATACAGGATGACTAGATATATCTCCTACAAATACAGGATGACTAGATATATCCCCTACATATACAAGATGACTAGATACATTCTCTACATAAACAGGATGATTAGATATATCCTTTATATATGTAAGGTGACTAGTTATATCCTCTACATATACAGGGTACTAGATATATCCTCTGTATATACAAGATGACTGCATATATTACTACACGTGCAGGGTGGGGCTAGATGTGTACCCTGCATACTCAGGGTGTCTGCATTTGCTTGTTTGGGAAGTAGATTGTTTTGGGTTTTCTTTGGGCTGTACTTTTTCTGTGAAAATCTATTTCTTTTCTGACCAGAGGGAGCTGTGGTGGTGTAGTCTGTAGACAGTTGCTCTGCTAAGCTAAAGGGAGGAGGTACGTCTCTGGAGGTTTGAATCCATCAGTGCTCCGTGGGAGAAAGATGGGCAGTCTCCTCCCTTGGAATTTACAGCCTCAGAACCAATGAAAGGTCAGCCATGAGTCGGTTCCCATTGAGCAGCAATGACTTTCTCACTGATGAAATTTTATGAGCAGAAAGAAAATGGTTTACAGTTAAGGAAAATGGAAGTAATAACCACAGTAATAACAGTAAGTGTAGTGTAAATGCTTCTTGCCAGAAGAGCGTTTGTGAGGTCATTCTCATATGTTATCTCATTTAACCCTCAGAGCAAACCACCTTTAGAGGTAGGTTTTACCACTTTGATTCTCATTGCTCAGACAGGAGATGGTCTGAGGTCATGTAGAAAGTGGAGGAGTATGTCCATCTCAGTGAATCACAGTGTCCTGAGCCACCATGCTAGGCAGAGAGGAGGGAACAAAACAGGCACAAGTGACACCTGGTCCTAGATAACCTTGGATTCCATGGTACCAGTCTATGTCGACGTCTATCCCACAGCCACGTTCCATGTGGCCTGTGTGCTATCTAAAGTACTTCTTTTGATCTTTTCTTTCTTCCTTGATTTTATGGTATTTTAAAATTGTGTTTCATTGTGTGAAAACAAACCAAAACAATTGGGATTTTTTTTCACTCCCTCCTTGCATCCACCAAAGTCTGCAACCCCATGAATTCCCCATCCCTACCATCAGCCATTGACCCCCTCTTCTTCCCTCTTTCCATACTCAACTCATTGGTTATCCTTCTGTTTATACAATAATGATCTTATACAATATTTGTTCTTATGTGCCTGAGTTATTTCATTCAGCATAAACTTTTGCTTTCTTCATGGATGATGTCATTCCATACTCACTTAGTCCATAATCACTAATATTAATGTGTCAAATCTATCCTTGAAATAGTTAATAAAACTATTATCCAAATTTACCCCCCAATTTTATCTTCTCCAGATAGTGTATTTCTGGCTGTATTTGTCAGCCTCTTTATGCCATAGACTAGCTTTGTCTCTCAGGAACTTTATGGATTGGGGTTTTACTTCCAGGTCTCTAATCCCCTTGAGTTGATTTTTGTGTATGATGTGAGATGTGGATCCTGTTTCTTCTTTCTACAGGGAACAGTCCAGTTTTTCCAGCACCATTTGTTGAAGAGGTTGTCATTTCCCCACTTGATAGCTTTGATTTCCTTGTCTAATATCAGTTGACCATAGATAGAAAGGTCCATTTCTGAGTTCTTGATTCTGTTCTTTTGGTCTATGTGCCTGTTGTTGTACCAGTACCATGCTGTTTGGTTATTACCACTGTGTAGTAGATTTTAAAGTAAGGAAGTGCATTGTTTTTGTGGTTGTGGTTGTGGTTGTTGTTGAGTGCTTTTGAGTCGTAGATGACTCATAGCGACCCTATGGATGAAAGACCTGAACATCTGTATAACTTACATCATTTCTCCAAGTTCATAGAGTTTCCAGAGGCAAGCTGGTTCAGAAGTGTATGGCAGTCCTGCTTCCAAGCTTGTTTCAATCAGGGAACTCCATCAAACACTGCCCGCCATGGGTAACCATTATCACATTCGACCTCCCACTTAATTTTTGTTTTTCAAAAGTACTTTACTTACTTGGGGTCTCTTTCCTCTCCAGATAAACTTGACAACTTCCCCTTCGATCTCCTTTAAATGAATTTGGTATCCATATTTGGATTGCATTGAATATGTAGATTGCTTTGGGTAGGATTTTAATTTTCACTAAATTGAGTCTTTCTATCTATGGACCTCTCCAGAGTACTGCAATGCAACGATGTCAGTCTAGAGACTGAGATGTGCCTAATCCCTGCCATGGTCTTCACAATTACTTGCTATGCATCAGAGAGCTGGACAATGACTAAGTATGACAGAAGACAAATCTATGCCTTCAAGTTGTGGTGCTAGAGAAGACTCTTAAACATACCATGGACCACCAAGAAGACAAATAGGTCCATCTTAGAGAGGGTGAAACCAGATATCTCCTTGAAAGCTAGTGTTTTGAAGCGCCATCTCACATACTTTGGGCACATGGCCAGGAAGGAACAATCCTTGGAGAAGGACATCATGCTCAAAATGGTGGAGGAAAGGCACAGGGGAAGAAAACCCCAGCTGATATGGATTGATACAGTAGCTGGGACAGTGGAAGTCTTGGAATCAGTGAGACTAACTCAGGACAGGGCAGGCATCAGAGCTGCTATACATAAGGTCACAGGCAACTCAATGGCACATAACAAGAACAATATTCATGAAGAGAGAACATTTTTCCATTTATTTAGGTATTTTATTGTTTCTTGAAGAAGTGTTCTATAGTTTTCTTTGTACAGGTCTTTTGTATCTCTAGTAAGGTTCATTCCAAGTATAAAGATTAAATCCCTTTGTGCATCAAAAACTTTTTTTCTCATAAGGTAAAAAGAAAACCTAGCAACTGGGGAAAAAAACATTTGGCAACACCACCTCAGACAAGGGTTTCATCACAAAAGTTTACAGAATATTCCTGGGCCTCCAGAAGAAAAAGATAACCCAATTACAAAATGGACAAAATCCATGGGAAAACTTTTCACAGAGGAAGACATTTGGATGGACAACAGACATATGAAGAAATGCTCAAAATCATTGGCAATAAGAGAGATGCAAAGGAAAACCACAATGAGATGCCATCTGTCTCACTCCAGTAGCAGGGCACCAAAGAGTAAATGTAGAAGATGTGGAGAGGTGGGAACTCTCATACACTGTTGGTGGGACTGTAAAATGTACAACCATTCTGGAAGGCATTTTCTCAAAAACCTGAACATAGAAACTCCATATGACCCAGCTATTCCACTACTAGGAATATACTCTGACAAAATTAAAGCTGAGACACAAATGGAGATTTGTACACCAATGTTCCTAGCAGCATTATTCACTTTCACAAGAATATGGAAACCGTCTAAATGCCCAACTAAAACTGAATGATTGAGAAGTTGTGGTACATCCACATAATGGAATACTTTGCAGCAATCAGGAGCAATGATTTCAAAAATTCTGCATAACTTGGAGACACTGGAGAGCATTATGCTGAGTGAATTAACTCAGTCTCATAAGGACAAATACTGTATAAGACCATCATTGTAAAAATAGAAGGATAACTAGTAAAACATGTATGAAGATCCAAAGGGGGAAGTGGTGGGAGCATATTGGTGAGGATGAGTAGGAGCAAAAACAGAGTTGTGTAATTTGGTGAGTGGAGGGAGAGGGTAAAGGAAATAGGAAAGATCTGGTGGGGACTGGAAAAGACAAGGCATAGTCCAATGCTGGTAATCTTTATAAAACATAATGAATGGATATGAAACACAATGTGAATGAAGAATAGTGTGAAACACAATGTATACAAACTTAGTAAGCAAATGAATATAAAATAAAAATTCTTTTAAAATAGTGACAGAAATGAGGCTGGAGATTGAATAATAGAATTTTACACAATTGATAATTTATTTATGCAAATACCTTTTTGAAAAACCATAAACGGTGACTATGCACACAGACTTCACCTGATAAGACTACACAAGAATCAGTTTGGCTACATAGGTTGAAATAGGTGATGGAGAAGCTCAATAATGTCAGTCAAAACAAGGCAAAGGGATGACTCTGGAACAGACCATAAATTACTCCTATGCAAGTCCAGGTTGAAGCAGAAGAAACTTAAGCCAAAATTTAAGTCTTTCTCAACGGAATAGATATGGAGAAAGAATTATGTAGTTGATATATTGTTGCAGGGGTAGATGTAGATATTGTTATTGTTATTGTTGTTGTTACTGTTATGAGCCATCAAGTTGCCTCAACTCATTGTGACTCTGTGCACAATGCTCTCAACTCTGCCCTGTCCTGAGCCAATCTCACTGTCTTCAACACGTCTATCCTCATTACCTCAGTTACTGTGCCCCTCCATCTCATTCAGGATCTCCCTCTCCTGTGCTGTTCCTCCACCCTACCAAGCAAGATGTCCTTCTCCAAGGACTGGTTCCTCCTGGCAATATACATTTGTGAGAGGGAGCCTCAAAATCTTTGCCTCCCTCCAAGGAGCATTTTGTTTTCAACCTCTTATAGGACAGACTTGTTTATTTTCATGGCAGTTCCATAGTACATTTCAATACTCTTCTCCACCACCACAACTCAAGGAAATTGATTCTTCTTCTGTCTTCCTGAATCATTT